CTCTCTTCTCCATCTCATTCGTAAAAGAAACTTCTGACAGGTGCGAGAGGCGGGTTTGATTTTTTTTTTAATGCTCTCATCCTTAATGTGTTGTCATCTGGAAAGCAATTTCGTATGATCAAAGTGCGGCTAGTTAGTGCGGTCAATATCCTTTCCAGCAAGCTTCTCATATATCGATAACAAGACAGCGGAGCCTCTCGACGAGCTGCATTCAGGGCCTCTATGTGTGCCATGGACCGGGATCCACCCCGTGCGTAAAAAGAGCCATAACCCCAGGCATACGTTTCAGCAGCATCTAATATAAATACAGCAAAATTTTAAGTGCCTCTGGGGATATTGTTCCCACCAGGACGGACAAACAAAAATATCATCAAGTGCGATAAGGTAATTCACAAACAGGTGCCACAATTTAAGTCATTACAGGAGTGTTAGAATGATTTTTTTGTGTTTCATGGCGTCTCTTCCTCTCTTGCGCTGTCTCCGTTACTGTATGACAGTAAAGAGTAAACAAGGTGATTGATCCGTGGTCTGTGGGGCAGCAGCGGTCCTGCAGGAAAACAGCACAACACACGCCCCGGGCTCGGCTCCACTCAGCTGGACCAAAGCGTCACCTGCTTCTAGTTCATTTCCGCTTATTCCTTTGGTTTTTATTTCTGATTTGAATGGGATGAATGTTGGCACAGACTTGGCTGTTAAGGAGGATTTTGCAGCCACAAATTAAATTTAAATATTTATCTGTTGCTTCTTAGTGACGCCTTTGTTCAGTGTGATAGCGGCACCTTCCCCCTCGCCTCCTTCCTCCTGGGTCCAAATAACTGGCGCAGACTCCGAGACCAGTGCGAGAGACGTGATCGGGCTTCGGCCTCAGGTGCATCTCTGAGGCGGGGCGACGCGGAGGTCCAGGTGAGTGGACTTCCTCCTCATTCAGTCCTCCCACATTTCAACCTTCCATTCCTTCCCTCTTTGTTTTTCATTTACGTTGGTCTTTAAAATGACTCACAATAATTGCAAAAAACAAACAAACCCTGATACTATTTCCATATTACTTGGCGCTTAAGTCACTCAGGTCAGGATGCTTTCCAGTGGGAGGGATTATATGTTTTTGATTTAAAACTGAACGCCACACCGCTCTAGCCTGTTCGTATGGAGATAAAACTTAGTTGGGAAACTTAAAGTTTAAGATTTTTACATTTTCTAAGTCCAGCCTTTCGCTGCCCAGCACCACATCTTTCAGACTCAGCTACAGTTAAGAACTCACAGAGCAGCAAACTGTAAAAACTATGAACAAATTTGAATTACAATATAAATACTACCCTAAATTTTGAACATTGCAGGGTTTTCTTGTTTAGTTACTTTGACCTGCTTTAGAAGCTTTTATCGGGATTTTTTAAACACCCCTGTTGCTCTTGGAAATGTGTGTCAGTGAAGCAGCACGGTGTCTGTCTGCCCACTGCCATTACCAATCACATGTAAGAGTCTCTGCAAGCCAGCCAGTGTCTAAAAGTTCCCTCCAGCTTTGCTGCTCCCTAATTCTTCCAGCCTGATATTAGCCCCTTGGCACACCTTCAAATTTGTGTTTCATTATTTATTACTCAACACCGTTTGATAGTAGACACACTTCTACTGAGGCTACAGGGCAATTGAAGGACTCCTCTGTATCTTTCCCACCATCTCCAAGCCTCAGCCCCACTCCCCTTCTCCCAACTCCCCCCTCTCCTGTGGCCCTCATACCCCTGTCGTCTATCGTTGCCACACCTGGTAACTACAAACTTGTACACAATAATAACAGCCAGATGTATCCATCTATCTCTCTATCTAGCCTGTCGGCTGTTAGTGGAGTGGCTGAGAGACTTGCAGGCGTGAAAGGTCAGTTAATCAATGGCTCACAATTTGACAAATCCCAGCAATTCTTATCATCCTCACGGGCATTTAGGGCCAAAAGGAGGACCACTGAGATAAATGCTTACTCTTGACTATGCTGTGAGAGAGAAAGTGTGAGAGGACAAGCACAGGAGTGCTGTGAAGCAGATGGGCTTCAGAGAGGTTGGGTGGTGGGGGGCTTTGGAAGAGCTGGCTAGTGGAAAAAGGAGAGAAATAAGAAAAAGAAAAAGAGGTGGAAGTGGTTCAAAGCAAAACTGGAAGGTGAACAAATGGGCCCCCGCATTTGAAAATGACAGATTTCTCCGTCACAGCCAACAGAACGGGCAGCTTCATGGTTCTCAGGTCATCAAATTCACCTCAGGCTGGACAGGCCATGCACATGACTGCTGGGCTGACATACTGTAGGAATCCTGGTTCACGCTCACTTATGGCTCTACTGCTGTGTGTAAAGCTGAGAAAAACAAAGGTGTATGAGTGGTTGAATTCTCCTGTGGCATGTTAGCCTGCCTGCAGCAGTGTGCAACCAAGAGGCAAATGAGCTTTTGTCCACAAGGGTGGCCTCTTTTTCCCCTCAGCTTTTTGAACTGCAAGGGTTTGGAAGGTGGCACAACTTCTTTGCCCTTATACCCTTAACAAGGATCACCTCAGTATAACATGATGTCAGTTGTTTTGTGTTGTACAGTAATGTAATGTTGGTCATTTCTCCTTGTGGCTTTGGCATTAATCACATTAAGGGTACTGATCAAAATGGCGTCACTGTCTCCCAAACTGATATGTGTAGGTTTGCACTTCACATGGGTGCGAGCTATCACTTGAGCTATCACTCATGTCCTTTATCTCCATCTCAATACAAGTTCAGTGTAATTCGATTGAGATTAGTTGCTCTGGCATGACAACAGATCCCCAGTATTGCCAAAGCACTTAGGACGTAATGACAGGACCGCATTGACAGCTAACACATACACCCTTCGACTGGCCAACCTTGTAGAGAGAGACTAAGTGGAGAACAGAGAGACAGAGTGACAGCAAAGTCAGAGGTTTGTGCAAAATCTCAGGATGATGAAGTTAAAGGATGAGCGAAAGGTTTTGAAAGAGCGTAAAAAGAAGTGGAGAGAAATGATGAGGAGACTCTGATGATGAGCAGAGCTGATGCATGACAGGGTGCGTCCAAAAAGATGAAAGAGTGATTGACTCACAGGGAGAGTGATGGAAAGAGAGGAGGAAAAAAGAGGGCGAGGAGGTGACAAAACAAAAACATGTATGAGATGCCGAGAGGAGGACGGAGAAGGGTGAAGTGAGCAGGGAGAAAAAAGAGAGGACGGGAGATAAAGAAAGCACAGGAGGGAGGGCTAGAGAGGATAAAATGTATAAGAGTGATGTACGAGAAGAGTGGAGAGGAAGAGATTTACTAGAAGAGAGATTAAGTCAACTTGTCCCCGGTCAGTCATTAATCCGATTTAAGAGCAATTAAGGTGAGACTGATTCCTTCCTAGAGAAAAAGAAATAGATGGAGAGGATGAAGAGAGGGGGAGAAAAAGAGGAGACAGCAGGGGAGACAAGGAAAGA